ATGTGTTCTCTCTATCTAGAAAGTATAGTAATGTAATCATTCTAGTATAGTTGTATATGTTCTCGTCCTAGTATAGTTGTATATGTAATGTACTGAAAAGTTCTAGAAAGTATTGACTCATGAATGAACTGACTCATTGTATGATATCGTGTTCTAGTAATTATTCTAGTATCTTCCTAAACTACCCATATGGTAGTTTACTAGTAATCTATCTGGTAAGTATGGACATGGATGTATACCCTTGCTACGCATGGGCATATGTTGAACTGGAAGGACCTTTTATGACTATATATGTACACATGATATATAACTAATATTTAAACGACTTTCGGACGATTACCCGATATCCCATCAGACCACATCTCAAGGCGCGAAAAGGAAATAGGGTGGATAGCCTTCCTAAGTCTTTTAAACATTTCTTATATAACTATACATATAGAGGCATGCAATTTATAATATAAAAGCATATATAAGTTTTGTAAGACATTGGAAACATAAATATTATTTCAAGAAAGATCGACTTGATGCCAATCTATAAAACAATTTGAAGGCATAAGTTTGATAAAACAATTTTAAGTATAAGGAAACATTTGTTTGAAACGCAGTTGTAAATAAGTTTGAAAGGTAATGTACAGAGTAAGATGTACAGTGTAATAAGTAGTTTAAAATATATAAAATGTTTATAAAAGTCATTTGAAGGAAACGGTTTGGTAAAACGGCTAACGAGTAGCCAAATCATTTAAATGCAGTATATTAATCACATGTGATTGATGTAATAAGTAAATATAATCCTACTTACAAATCACTTGTGAGTGACATAATAAGCATGTTTCTACTTGTATCCCCCCCATAAAAACATTTAATAATAGTTTAAAACGTTAGTTAAGGGGTATGAACTCACCTGCAGTATGTGACTGGAATTTCACGGACTGTTATCGTACTGAAGGATCGGACAAGTGCTTGGTGTCAAGGGGAGACTTAGACACACACAATGATCCTAATTACATATGAAAACGTATGTATATAAATAATTAGTGATTATAACACTAATTACACAAGTAATAACATTTAAGCGCGAGGATAACACCTTTGGTCAAGTGCTAGGAGGCTAAAGGGTTGCAACAAAGGAGTGCAATGCCCCTATTTGGAGTTTAAGGTCAAAAGACCATATTCATTGGAGTTTACGGACCAGGGGAGTAAGCTCCTGGCCGTAAACTCTCAACCAAGTCTTGAAATGATGCTTACAATTACTACAACTCTAGTGGGAATTTATTCAAGGCTTATACAAGTGTTTAGGCACCATATTGACTCCTTTGGGGAGTTTACGGCCCAAAGACCCTTTTCCCTTGGAGTTTACGGCCATAAACTCCCTTGGGAGGGTGATTATGGTGCTTTCAAGTCTCTATAATAACTAGGAACAATTCTAGGCTTTTGCACTTGGCTTTGGAAGAGTTTATGGCACCATTTGGTACCATTTCTTGGAGTTTACGGCCATAGAACCTTTTGGACCATAAACTCCCTCACACATGGGGTTCTAAATGTTTTAGCTAGTCCATAACTCATCTAGGTACATGCCCAAATTGTCTCATGGCCTAAGGAAGTGTTTAGGGTGTCCTTTGACCCTTTTATGGGAGTTTACGGCCCAAGAACCACTCTTGGCCGTAAACTCCTCAATACTTGTGATTTTCTTATGTTTCCTAGGTCCTAAACACATTAAGGTATTTGCCAAAAATAGAGTCCAAGCCTTTGGGGTGATTAGGGCACTTTTAACCCTTGAAAAAGGGGTTTACGGCCCAAGAGCATATCCTTGGCTGTAAACTCCTAAAACTATATGGTTTTGATTGATTTATAGCCTCTAATGTTCATACATAAAGTCCTTACCTAGTTGCCTAACAAGGAATTGGGACTAGATGGCCTTTAGGCCTTGTTTTGGAGTTTACACCCCAAGAACGTTCTTGGGCCGTAAGCTCCCGGATCTTGTGTTTTGGACATGTAAATAATGTTATTAAGTATATAACAAGTATTAAAACACATCTAGGGAAGTAGACTCACAATCTGGGATGAAAACCCGAAGATCCGTGAGAGAGAAATTGGTTTTTCTCTAAATGGAATTCAACTAATGAACCAATTTGGTTCAGGATTCTATTTATAGTCCTGAGATTTTTGGCAGAAAATATTTCTATTCTCGGAATGGATTCCAATGATCTAGGGTAATGGAATTTCAGTGTTGCACAAAATCCTAGTGCAACCTCTCTCCTAATATCTCTTTAGGTGTAAAACCCTGAAACTGCCAAACTTATATTCTAAGTCTGAATTTCTACTGTAACTGCTCTACTTCTATTGGATTGAAATGGTTTGATTAGATTGGAAAATTTCAGGTTGTCACATTCAAATCTCCAGTAAAAGAGGTTCATTTTCGGATTCAAAAAGTTTCCAAAAGCCACCCACCAACCTTCCACAAATAGAGTCAACAAGTCAAAACCCGGGTTTACTTCACCACTCTTCACGCGGACTGCGTATGAATCCATGCGGACCACGTTGGTCACGTTGAATGCATGCTTTGGCCCATTTCAAATACCATCCATCCCAATCTTCTATTTTATACTCCAACCCACTTATACAAGTTCTTAATAGCCCAATTGTGCCATTCCAAAGCTCTTCCAAGATGCACCAATGCTCCTTTGATCTTCTATAGCTCGAATTCTCGTCGTCCCGCCTGAAATTTAAGTCTGATGCGCTTTCTTGTTTATGTTGACACCAAGCCCAGTTGCACCACTTCAAGTCCATGAACAAATTGCAAGCCTCTAGAAGTCCCTCACTCCTTCAACACCTCCAATAATATAAATTATTCGATAAATCTCGCAAATAAACTCAAAAGACTGGAAAGCACCGGTAAAAGGAGAAAAATAACAAAAAGAGAAAATATGCATGAAGATTAACTAAAATAAGATGGTTTTAACTAAAAATAAACGATGAAAAGAAGTGATAAAAATGAAACTATCAAATCACCCCAAGCTTAAACCTTACTTGTCCTCAAGTAAGAAAATACTAAAATGAACTTGGGATGAAATATCCTAGAGAAAAAAAAGAATGAACATCTTAGGTGGAAATTCACGACACGCCCTTAAAATAAAGACATAATCCATTTTAGGGATAAGAATCGCTTTAAGGGACGAGCTTTTGTTACCTTTCTAGCAAGGGATACATGCTGATCAAGATGCAAAATGAGCATGCATACTTCATTATTATGGTTTACGTGACATTGTTTCGTGGTCCAATCTAGCCCACATGCCATAAGAAATTGTCCCTCAGTTAGAATGTTCCTCACTCCTCACAACTTCAACCCCACGCCAAGAAATAAAAACTAGCAAAAAGATAACTCGGGCCAAAAATGGCAAGGAACGAGCTATGTACAAAGGTTTGCAAACCATCATCATCTAGAAGAATAGGTGCTTCCACCAAAATAAGATCATGTAAAGCGAAGAATCGAGCACGCGATGAGAAAAGGCGTCATCGTAGTTGCCAGCAAAAATGATATCTAACTAGAAAAACATCAAACTAGAAACTAATTACATGAGCTAAAATCCGAAAAAAATACTAAACATTTACAAAAGCAAACAAATGGATACAACTATAAGCAGAATCTAAGTCTAACCCAAACAAGAGGCCAAACGAGCGTAACTACACTAAGGCTAATTTGAGATCGAGTGGGAAAAACGTTTCTAAATCATGAAGTAATGCGATATGATGTGAATTGTAGCAGTTAGACACTAAAGATCATATCACAATCTAGTTTTTATTCCTTTCTTTGGGGTTTGATTGTGGCTTGTGAGAAAAATGCAAGTGAGGGACTAGTCGGCTCGAGGCTAAGTTGTCCCCTTACTTAGCCACACTTGACATAGGTCGGTTCATATGCATAACTACTTGCACTCTCTCCCCACGTATATACAAGAAGATGCAACAACTAAAGGTCCCTAAGAGCGATTCTTATTTGTTATGTGAGTTTCCAAAAGAATTGTATTTAAGGTGTGTCGAGTCTTTCAAGTAAAGATGTCCGTAGATGAGAATAAAGAGATAACAAAAATGCAGGAATGCCAATTCCCTAAGCTAAATGCCATGCAAAAATAAAAAGTGAAAAAGACGAAAATAAAATCTTTTTGAGTTTTTTAGAAAAAAAAATGAATGTAGTCTAAGGCTAAAATGTTATGCAACCTAATTAAAATGCATGAGAAATCAAAATGAAAAGGGAATACCCCACCCAAGCTTAGTAATAAGCATTGTCCTCAATGCTTAGGGCGAGGTGGAAGTACCTAGACCGGGGGGTCGAGAGGAGGATATGGGTATTGGGTAGGGGTAAGGGTAAGGTGGAGGTGGATAAGGATGGGTAGGTGGAGGGTATGGATAGGGAGGAGGAAGTGGGACGTTCTCGAAATGGTTTTGTGTTTGGTGTTACCCCCACATATGGTGCATTTGCTGGGACATGATTTGGTTGGAGACACAAAGAGCCTCGAACCGTTCGGCAAAATTGGGGGGAGCGCGTAGTAACCGGGAGGTGCTTGGGGTTGGGCTTGTTGTGGATCATGGGTGGGCTCATCACTGGACTCTTCATCTACATGCATCTCGACATCATCTTGAGCCTGGAGCGCATCCTTATTGACTAACTAAGTGATGGTCCTCACGAGTCTCCACTGAGTGCGATCGTGGGGGGTGAAATTGGAGACTCGAGGGTTCGGGAGAACAAGATATCCAACCCCATGAGGGAAATACCATGTAAAACTGCTCCTTCTCCGGAAACGGATGTGGTACATGTTTTCTACAGCACGCTCATCCAAAAGCATTTTATTGTCAACAAGTTGGTATTCGTCTGGGAGCTCGATGTCAAGACCGCGGGCTAAAATGGTGACAAACCCACTAATGCAAATATCACCGGACGCTTTGGTTCTCATGAGTGCGCATTTATGGAAAAAGAATGAAGCAAAGTCCGGGATTGGTGGGTTTTCATGTCATTTCATGCACCAAAGGAAGAAAAGCTCATTTTTTGTGACCTGGCCGGCCTCTTTTCGGGCAAAAACAGTGCACACCAGGATACGATGGGCAATGTGGAGGCATGGGTGAATGATGGAGGTTGCTTTATCTCGACTGGCGCACGAAAATATCCTTCCGGTGATTTCCGTCCAAAAGGTCTCGTGGTTGAACTTGGCAGACAAGATGTCGAAAACTGTGGATGTGTTTTAGGAAGGCAAGCCCAAGATTTCCTTTATTGTTGTAAAATCAATATAACTTTGGTCCCCCAGAAGTTGGAATGTGGCTTTTTTCTTTTCGCTATCTAACCCGCAATCGACAAGAAACTCTCTAGTAGGGAGCTCGTAAGTGTGTGCCATGAGATTAAGAAGGTTTTCCCACACAGAAAATTCGGGTGACCCCCTCGAGAACCCCTAATATGATGAGTGTGGGTTTGCACACGAATTTGGTGGAGGCAACCTTTCTTGGCAAGCTCTTCGTGTAATTTTAGGCCGCCTTGGCATCTTGAAATCTTGAAATGTCGAGTGCATCATTTTGAGCTCTGGCGGGGGCCTTGCCTCTAGCGGCAGTTGGGCGTTTCCTAGATGTAGACATGGTCTACATGCATGAAAAACAAATACTACACGAACCACAATCCCAACAAATGTATTTCAATTCCAATCACCAATCTATTCCCTATGGACTTCTACAATGATTCAACACTCAATGAAAGAAACATTATCAAGACTCAATTGATGCGATACCATATAAATTTTTGTTCTAAAACATGCATATTCGTCAGTTAAACTCAAGAAAATAATGTACCCGTGATATTTTTATGCACAAAAAATCAGAATTTGAAGTTCTTACAAATCTCCACCCCAAGCTTTAAGTTTTGTTCAATATCCCGTGAGAAAAATTTTACTGCGAAAACTTGAGAAATCCGGCAACAGCTTGAGATTGCGGTGAAATTTTCCGGCGAGCTTTGAGAGATATTTTTAGTGGGGTTTGTATCCTTGACCAAGAGGATCACAATGGTGGTGTCGGAAGCGCGAGAGGTGGCCGGAGTTGGCGGGAAAATAGCCGGAAAGTGGCGAGATGGTGGTGGTAGCGCCCAGAATTACAGCAATGAATCGAAACGGATTTTGGGTGGGGTTTGTAGGGAATGGAAAATGGTGAAGAATGGCGGTGGTCTCATGTAATTCCGACCGGCGGTTTGACGAGAAATCGGGTTTTAGTGGTGGAGATGGAGGTGTGTTAATAGAGTTTAGGGAAAAGAAGTAGAAGAAGAAGGGAAGAAGAGGGCCGACTGGGTTGATTTAGGGATTAAATTCATGGTCAAAATTGGTCAAATTACGGGTCAACAAAAATCAACATGTCACGCGGACGCATCTGCGAGTACACACGGTCCGCGTGAATAACCCCGAAACACTTCTATTTGCCTTCTTCACACGCGGACGAATCTAGGGAGCCTATGCGGTCCGTTTGTATAAACACATGGTCGTACCCATGAGTACACGTGGTCCGCGTATAGGTGCTAAAAACGGACCATTTATTTGACTTTTCACGCGGTCATCTTTTTTAGCACACACGGTCCATTTGTATAAAGACGCGGACGGACCCATGAGTACACGCGGTCCGCGTGAAATAACATGAAATCCTTCTGCCTTTTGATGTTGGACGCGGAAATTTTTGGGTACCACAGGTGGACCATTTGTTTATTAACGCGAACACACCGCTGAGTACACACAATCCGCGTGTATCTTGCAGCCATTTCCTCAATTTTCGCCCTTTGACCAAAACGAACACCGGGCCTTAAAATCTGACACTCTTTTATTGCAAAAAGGAAAAAGAAGAAATGTGAAATGCAAAAAGGATCTATAGACGACATTTATTCGGAATTAGAAAAGATGAAAACTTGAAGTTTTCCAAAAATGTCCTTCTTTAACGTCTTTGGCGAGACGTCCTTCCCTTTCGATTTCAATATATCGAGGCATCCAATTCGATGACATATAAGACATTTGCGTTAAAACCGTCATAGAAAGGTTTCAAACGATGTCCATTGACTTTAAATATTTTCCCTGTTTCTTCACTCTGGATCTCAACCGCTCCGTGCTCAAAGACTTTTAGCACAACAAATGGACCTATCCATCTCAACCTCAACTTTCCAGGAAATAATTTCAATCTCGAGTGATAAGGCAAAACCCTATGTTCCAGCTCAAAATGATTGCGGGTAATGGACTTTTCATGGAAAAGCTTCATTTTCTCTTTGTAAATTCTCAAGTTTTCATAAGAGTCATTTCTCAATTCCTCCAACTCTTGAAGTTGAAGCTTCCTATGCCTTCCCTCCACATCAATGTTGAAGTTGCATTGCTTGACCGCCCAAAATGCATGGTGTTCCAGTTCCACGGGAAGATGACATGGTTTTCCAAAAATCAACCTAAATGGAGACATTCCTATCAGGGTCTTGTACGCGGTCTAATAAGCCCACAAGGCATCATCAAGCCTCGAAATTTCAATATTTTCTTGAAGGATTCACCGTTTTCTCAAGAATACTCTTCACCTCACGATTTGAAATTTCCTCTTGACCGTTCATTTGAGGGTGGTAAGCGGTAGAGACATGATGGGTCGCGTTGTACTTATTCAACAAGGCCTCCATCATCTTATTGCAAAAATGCATCCTTCGATCACTAATTAAAGCCCTAGGCACACCAAATCTCACAAAGACATTAGATTTCAAAAAGACGATAACCGTTTTGGCATCATCCGATCGCGTGGCTTTGGCCTCAACCCACTTAGAAACATAGTCAACCACGACCAAGATATAAACGTTGCCAAATGAGACGGGAAATGGACCCATGAAATCAATCCCCCATACATCAAAATTTTCACAAACAAGGATTGGATTTTATGGCATTTGGTTCTTTTGCGAAATGTTCCCCATCATTTGGCACCATTCACAACTTTTGCAAAACAAGTAACAGTAGCGTGACATGGTTGGCCAAAATAGTCCACACTCAAAGACCTTTCTCAAGGCCCAACTAGGTCCGAAGTGTCCCCCACAAGCAAATTCATGACAAAATTTCAATATGGATTGATGCTCTTGTTAGGTCACACATCGCCTAATAACTTGATCAGGATAATGTTTTCACAAATAAGTTTCATCCCACATATAATATTTTATATCAATTTTCAATTTATCTTATTGAGCACGTGTGAGTGTGTCGGGGTACCTTTTCATGACCAAAAAGTTAATGATATCGGCATACCAAGGAGTAGATTGAGTAAGGGAAAAGAGATACTCATCCGAAAACTCGTCCCGCAACGGGAGAGGAGTCTCATTCGAAGTGATCTGGCTTAGGTGATTGGCAACAAGATTCTCGCATCCATTCTTGTCCTGGATTTCCAAATCAAATTCTTGTAATACTAAAATCCACCGGATGAGTCTTGGTTTTGCATCTTTCTTTTTCATTAAGTACTTGAGAGCTGCGTGATCCGAATACACAATTACTTTGGTGCCAAGTAGATACTGCCTAAACTTCTCCAAAGCGAACACTATGGCCAATAGCTCCTTCTCCGTGGTATAGTAGTTGCTTTGAGCATTGTCTAATGTCCTGGATTCATAGTAGATCACATGGGAGGTTATTCCATTCTTTTGACCCAAAACGGTTCCTATTGCATAGTTGCTTGCATCACACATGATCTCAAAGGGAAGATCCCAATTTGGTGCTTGCATGATGGGAACGGATGTAAGCAACTCTTTGAGCTTGTCGAAAGCTTCTTTGCACGCCTCATTGAACTCGAAATCAACATCCTTTTGCAAGAGTTGGCACATTGATCTTATTATCTTTGAAAATTCCTTGATGAATCTCCAGTAGAAACCTGCATGGCCCAAAAAACAATGAACTTTCCGAACACAAGTCGAGCAAGGTAAGCTTTGAATAACATCAATCTTGGCCTTATCAACCTCAATTCCTTTCTTTGACACAATGTGACCCAAAATAAGACATTGACTCACCATAAAATGGCATTTTTCAAAATTTAAAACCAATTTTGTTTCAATACATCTTTTCAAAATTTTGGTGAGATTAGTCAAACACTCTTGAAAGGAGTTTCCGTATACCGAAAAATCGTCCATGAAAACTTCAATTATATTTGCAAGATATTCCGAAAAGAAACTAACTATGCAACATTGGAAAGTGGCCGGGGCATTACACAATCCAAATGGCATTCTACAGTATGCAAAAGTGCCAAATGGACATGTGAAGGTTGTCTTTTCTTGGTCTTCCAGTGCCACCGGGATTTGGTGAAAATCGGAGTACCCGTCTAGACAATAATAATGGGATTTACCGACCAACCTTTCTAACATTTGGTCAGTGAAAGGTAATGGGAAGTGATATTTTCTCGTGCTTGCATTAAGTTTGCATTAGTTAATACATATTCTCCACCGGTTTTTCACACGGGTGGGGACCATCATACCTTTGTTGTTCTCGACCACCGTGATCCCCCTCCTAGTCGGTACCACTTGCACCGGGCTCACGCATTTACTATCCAAGATTGGATAGATCATCCCCGCATCAAGAAGCTTTAATATCTCTTTCCTCACAACTTCCATCATTGGCGGGTTCAATCACCTTTGTGCATCCTGACTCGGCTTGAATTCATCCTCCATCAAAATCTTGTGCATACAAGTGGACGGGCTCAACCCTTTGATATCCACAATCATCCAACTCATTGCTTCTTTATGTTCCTTCAATACTTTGAGGAGTTTCTCTTCTTCACACTCGGTTAAGTGAGGTGAAATGATGACCGGAAGACTCTCGTTGTTTCCCAAGTACGCATACTTCAAGTGTTGAGGAAGGACTTTTAATTCCAACTCTGGTGGTTGAACAAGGGAGGGTGGCAATCTGGTGTGAGTTTGAGGTAATTCAATTTGCTTCACACTAGATTGAGTGGTTTTCTTGATCTCTAAATTGTTGATCAATCTTTCAACTTCCGGATCTAATGAGTAGAGCTTTAACTTCTTGGCTAACTTACCACAATCAAATCCTTTGCTCAAAATCATCTCCAACATGTCACCCTTAGACAACTTGAACAACTCTTGGGTTAATGGTTCGACAACATCAATAAAGCACAAGGATGAAACATCACTAGGATATCTCATAGGATCATAAATGTTAAAACTTATTGTTTCACCATCAAACTCCATTGTTAAACTTCCCGCATATACATCAATCTTCATTCTAACTGTCTTCAAGAATGGTCTCCCAAGTAAAATTATACCTGGATTTGAGTATACTTGTTTAGCTAGATCAATCACATAGAAATCTATCGGGAAGACCAATTGGTTCACTTGCACTAGGACATCTTCCAAAACACCTCTAGGAAAGACACTTGATTTATTCGCAAGAGAGATTATGACACCGGTTTCACTTAAAGGACCAACATTCAATGATTCATACACCGAATAGGGCATGACATTAATACAAGCACCAAGGTCAAGCATGTCACTACTAAAAGTGACATCTCCTATCTTGCAAGGAACCGTAAACATTCTCTGGTCTTTGCATTTGGGTGGAAGTTTCCTTTGTAAAACCGTGGATGCGTTTTCATTCATAGAGATTTTCTCATTCCCCTTCAACTTTCTCTTGTTGGTGCAAATCTCCTTCAAGAATTTTGCATATCTAGGAATTTGTTTGATTGCATCTAGTAAAGGAATATTCACTTCCACCTTTCGGAAGGTGTCCAAAATCTCTTTCTCCTCCATGTTCTTCTTCAAAGTTGCAAGTCGGGAAGGGAATGGCGGTTGAGTGGCTATTGGTGTCAATAGAGGGATAGTCTTCTATTGGGGCTCCGACTTGTGCATCATTCTTGGCAATAGGATCCTCAATGGGAATGACTTTTATGTCTTCCTCTTCATCCCTTGGTTTCTTCTTTGAACTACTTTCTCCGGTTTTTTTGCCACTTCTCAAGGTCACCACATTGACATTTAGGTTCTTTTCGGTTTGAGAATGGAGTTTATGTTGGATTAGTGTCTAAGCCCGTAACCATATTTGGTAAATACTTGACCCGGTTGTGCATGGTCCTTTTGGGTTACCTTCACCAAAGCAACTTGACTGGAGAAATAAATAGAGAAAGAGGTTATTCTGATTTATTAATATGTTATAAGAATAATATATTAAAGGGAAATCATATTTTTTAA